TTTAATGTACTTATAATTTTCTAAATTATTATTTGTCACATAAGTGATAAACCCACGCAGAGCAATTGAGTATTCGATTTAATATCTATTTAAGAAGTTGTGAAAATATACAGGAAAAATAAATAATTTAGCGTTTTCTTCTCTTTCTAGCTTTAGCTTTCAGAAGAAACTGATTTTTGTAGACGTACTTTTTTAATAGATTGTAGGACTGGAGGATTTGTTACATTACCTAAACTCAACAGGATTAATTTATTAACTCCCTCTATCTCTTTAGGTTTTTCGTGAAGTGTGTGGTCGTAAAACTGCGAACAATTGCTAATTATGTGTAGCGTAGGGATACCTATACGGATCTGGCACTGCAACAAACCCACCGCACTATCTTACTGAGAGCTGATCCTTTAATGAGAAATCGTATTATTTAAAAAGAATACTAAAATGAAATTGCGTTAAGTCTATAACACAAGGAAGGGTCGATCGTTTTTAACTATTATGGAATAATAATAGTTAATATAATTGAATGATTACATTAAAATAAAATAAAATGCCATCAAAGTGTAAACATTTATAAGAACATTAAGAAATTTAAGGCTTTTATAAATAATAAAAATTTTTTAGGTATTTTTTTAAATCCAAATAAAAACGCATAATCATAAAAAATTAAAGAGGAACACAAGTTTTTATTATTGAATAAAATCATTATTCAGTACAGAATGCAGAAGACACCGGCATACAAAATTATTTTTTTTCCTGTTTTTTTCTTCTTCTTCCAAACAGCAAAAGTCAACATCAGAGACTACAAAGTTGAATGCTTGGGAATTATTTTTTTAAAGGAATTATTTGATTTTATGTTCTTTTCTTTAACAAACAAAAGATGTACAAATATTTTCGAATGAGACTTTTTGATTTGCGAAGGTAAAAAAAACTCTCTGCAGAAAAAAAAATAAAAATACTTAAAAATTTTTTAAAAATTCTTGTTTGTATATTTAAACACAGAAATATGTGCAGCCATAGATGCCAGACACAATATCCTGACATACCGAGGCATTCATAATAACATTTTAGCTTGCGTTCCTTTATTTCTTTGTTCCTGGCTTTTTTCTGGGCACGTCACCTTTAAGTGTGGTCGTCGCCATTCAAACTACAACTGAGCATCGATAAGTTTGAAAAGATTTACGTATGAGTTTGGCTGGAGTACGTCTTTTAAGTTTATGAGTTGGTTATTTTATGATTATATATGCATGGCTATGCTTCAAAGAAGCCACAAATATCAGGATAGTAAAGAGTAAAGTTATGTGGTTATTTTTTTTTTTTTTTATTTCTTTCTTTTTACTCATTTGCAGTTTCTTCTTCTCTTTTCTTATTCCTCATGCTATTTTTTATTACAACTTGATTACGTAGAATACAACACCTTCTGGCTGCCCGTTTTTATGGCACGCAAAACATCCTCCTTTCGTGGACTTAATAAGTTCAATAAATTAAAAAACAAAACAACATATTTTTTTATTATTTTTTTATTTTTCTAAAAATTTTTTTATTACAGTCAGTCCAATGAGATATTATGTATATTTTTTATTTCATTATTTATATAAAAATATAAAAATAAAACTTATATAGTATACGATTATATATATAAAAAACATGATTTTCTTTAAACATAAAATTATTTTAAATATATTTAAAAAAAAACACAAATATTTAGAACTTGAATTGATATTCATTATTGTATAAAAATATTCATTTTGTTTACAAAACAATTAATATAGTACTTAAAATTTTAACTTATAAACTATTTTTGAAATGTTACAATATTATTTCTTCTTATAATTTTTATAATTTGTTAAACATATTTTTTTTAAAAGTTTATTTCAACAATTAAACCTAAATAAATGTAATTGTTTAATTATATATAATTTATTTCCTACATTTACTTAGGTTCAAGTGATTTTTTATATATAATTAAACAAATAATAGATACTTATAATAGTATTTAATAATTCTATATACTAATTATTATACTAATAATAGTATAATAATAGTAAAATAATAAAAGTAATAATAATAGTAATAATAATAGTAATAATAATGTCATAATAGATAAATTAGTGACTTTTAAAAAGTCACTTGAAATATTGCAAGTCAAGAATTAATCAATAATAAATATATAATAATTTCTTTAAAAAAACAGTCAAACCTCGATAAATGTGAAGTATGTTGATAGTTGAAGCTTTATCTGCGTTTATCTAGGTTCAAGTGATAATTTACTTATATGTATATTCATTTTTTATAGATAAATGTTTAGGTATATATTATTAGACAGCTAATGTTATTGCCTGAATATATTAAGTTTATATTATTAGATACAATAGTTCTAATAATTATTAGTGTCCCGGACAGCTAATGTTTTAGCCTGAACATAATATGTATATATTCAAATTTATTAGTTTGGATACGGATTTATTTTATTTTCTATAAATAGTATTCATTTATTATTATTTTATTTTATTATTTATATTTATAAATGGAAAGTCGTGTTTTATTGCTCTTATTTTAAAACGTAATATTCGTGTGTTAGATCTCTTATAAGAAAAATTTTGTAATATAAAATATTACTTCAAACAGGGCACCATATAATGCCTAGAATTAGTAAATTTTATATGTTAGAACAATGTTTGTTTTTCAGGCCACAAAAATATATAGTGCCCTATATATAGTGCCCTATATATAGTGCCCTATATATCGTGCCCTATATATAGTGCCTTATATATAGTGCCCTATATATACTGCCCTATATATAGTGCCCTATATATAGTGCCCTATATATAGTGCCCAATATATAGTGCCCCATATGTAGTGCTATATATACGGTAATTATATTAACGACACCATTGTTAATATATGTAATTTATTATAAATATTTAATGGCAATTTTTATGTAGGTTGATTTTTATAATAAATAAATAAATGCAATATTATTATACACAAAATAATTGATAAAATTTAATTAAAAAAATTTGTGATTTAATTTAAAAAATTATTAAGAAATAAAAATAATAAATAAATACTGCATTTACTTCTCTATTATGTTATAGAGGAATTTAAAATGTATCATAATTTTTTTATATATAACAACTGAAAAAATAAACTTTTATTTATTGCATTATTTATTACGAAAGTATTATTTTCAAACAATTTTTTTTTTTACTTTAAGTGTATATTTGTGTAGAGAGCCAGGCTTTATAATTGAAGGTATTTTGATATTCTGGTTTGTTATTTATTCATAAATTATAATTCAGTATAATTAAAAGTAATTTTAAAATTTTGTTTTAATTTTGAAAATTAATAAAATAAAATATATATAATGTATTTTTCGTATTGAAATAGGATTGCACTGAGAAAAGTATAAGTATTTCAAAAAATACTAAATTTTCAGTGAGATTACAATACCAAGTAAAACACTCAACGGAACTAAGGAGAATGTTTTTATGGGAATAATCGAAAAATCTTTAATTGGATTACAATATAATGTTAAAAACACAATAAAATTAAATGAATTATTATGCCTCCATGGAAATAAATAGAAAATTTCAGTGAGATGACAATGCAATCAGAAAAATTGAAGGGAACTAAGTCAATTACTATATCTCCAGAAAATTTTCTACATACATTTGTATAAAATAAATGAAAAAAGTTCATAAAAATCAAAAATCAAATAGTTGAAAGTATTGCTTAAATTGGCGCTAACCTTTAAGAGGACGGAATAAGCGAGATACTTAGGCCTCTGTGCAATATATATATATAGACAATTAGATGAAAACATGCTAAAAAAAAGGCAAAAAAGGGACGTAGCTTGAGTACCTGCAAAGTCGCCGGAATCATGTGTAAACACATATTCGAATAAAATTATATTCAATCCGTGTAGTCATTCGAAAATAGAATGCTAACGCATTGAACCTATTCTTATAGGTGGCAGTTGACGCTTAAAATGGATTTCTGATGAAAGGGAATGGAAATAGAGTATGATCAACCAACTGAAATTATTACTGAGTTCTTTCAGCTTGTATATATATGCAATATTATTTTTTTTGACAGCAATCTTTGCACTGCCAGAAACGTTTTTTAAATTTACATAAAATAAAACAATGTTAAAAAGTCAGAAACAAAATTAAGTCAAGCTACTAATTTCATGATAGTGTGAACGCAACTAAATACAGTTTAAAACATTAAGTACGAATAGATCCTATAGTTGCAACTTATATACATAAGCTAAATACCAGTAGTGGTAATAAATGTAGTAAATTTTAGAAACCAGTAAGTAATGTACAGCCTTTGTTTCTTTTCGGCTCTCGCGATAAGTTTAATAAAATACTTTGGAGCTATCACCTTTAAGAATCTAAACTTTATCTCTGATCTCTATCTCTTATAATTCGTTTATTTACACATATTTTAAATAAGATGTACCATTATTAACTGACTTAAAGGGCTCTGAACTAAGTTCGCTTTAAACCCATGAGGTCTATGCTTGGTCTCGATTGGTGAGCTTTACCAGACAACCCCAGAAAATCGTGTTTTTAAATGTTAAGTGTGAGATAAAGAAATTGGAACCACTTAAGAAACAAATTACTTATTAACTATAATTAACTGTGATGATTATCTATGTCTGTTTTAACTAAAATTATAAAATAATTTATAATTAGTTAAATAAAGCTAGAAATAATATAATTGTATATTCAAAGAATATTTATTGTTTTTCAGAATAAATCAATAGTATGGTCATACATATTAGAAGATAGTATTGTAATCTCATAGATGCAAATATTTGCAAATGTATTTTCCATGAAAATTAAGCAATTTATTTCAGTAAGCAATAAATTTTAATTGCATATTAACAAAAATATTAAAAAAAATAATGTAAACACGAAATTTTAAAATTAGTAAGTTAATTCTTAATTTAAAGATATTTATGTAAGACTTATAGCTTTTTTCTAATTTTGTATGCATAATATCTTAAGTGCTGTTTTTAAGTACTCATAAATTATATATATTTTCTATGTTAGAGTGAGTAGACACTTCAAAGCACTGTAATAACATGTTTTTTTTTAACTATGTTATACCATATAAAAAACATAAATTATTACTGTAAAATGATTTCTACTTTTTAACAACATATATTTTTTTTATGATTTTTATGATAAAATTATCATACCTCTTTTAAAAACCGGGACACCCACTCTATTAAAGTTGAACTTCTAGTCAGTACACTCAGTACGGTTTTTTATGGATTATGGAATTTCTTAATAGCAATTTTTCTTAAATATTATTATTGCTTTTATTGTGGTTATCATTATATTTTTAACACATTTACGATATGATATTCTTGTAGAAGAGTGGTTTCTTCTGATTTTCCTTAATTACATAAAATCCACGCGGCTTACCATTGCCGGCGAAATATTTATTAAAACTATTTTTATTGACTGCAGTCGCAGGCGCATAATACGAAGGCGATTTGCGTTTCAATGATTTTTTATAGCTCATCATACTTGACTTGCCATAGGATTTTTCAAAAGTCTCGTTCTCCCATGGCTTATTCCACGTTGGTATATCTTTGATGTCAATCAATTGATCCTTTGTTGCATCTGCGACAGACGGAAAGCGCTGTTTATCTTCGAGTATCTTTTTTATTACCGGCAAATTCCAATGATAAATGCGTCCTGGCTTACCATTCGAGCTGAATGGAAAAGAGACCTTGAAATATACGAGCACAGAAGTAGTTGAAGTAAATAATATAATGCATAAATAATAATAAAAATTAAAAAATTAAAAAAAAATAAAAATAAAAATAAAATTGATTATATGCCGGTGAAATAGTGCTTTTTTTTTCTTCTCAAGAAATGCTAATAAGCTTTTCGTCTTGCAATCTTATTAAAATATATTTAAAAACAACCTGTATGTGGAACAAATTTTAATTATGTTTATGTTTCTTAAACGTTGTGGAGATAATTAAACCTACAGATAACAGACTTCATTTAGCTGAAGTATTAAAAGTTAATTTAATATTAATGAAATTTCAATAAGGTCTTTGCATATGATTTGCTTTTTAATGACCAGAGAAAAAGGAATAAGAACTGCTAATAAAAATGAAAACTTGTTAACCTATACTTAGTTAAGATAGAATATCAAATACCACATTACGAACATATCGATGAACATTGATTCCTAAGACCGAGTATATTCTATATACGTGTATAGTTTTAGATACACTATTTTACAAGCCAACAAGTAGATAAAACTATTAATTATAAAGTAGAATTTTATAGATAACTTATCAGCAGCTGATATTTTGACTTCCATTCGAAAGGCAAAGTATCTTCGGTTCAATTAGAATCGGTAAATAACACAAAGGATGAAACATGGTCACAGTTTTATGAGAAGCAATACTCCGTTTATTTTCTATTCTTTTTTTATTCTAAATAAAACCTGTACATACGTTTGGAAATAGAAAATTTGAAAGAAATGATCAATAAATACAATATGCAGAGATGTGGAGGGAATAAGGATGTATATTCTTATTCTTCTCTTGATGTACTCTGTTTATATTAATGATGGTATCTATTTCCATTACTCCATAAATGTCAACAGAAAAGGAACGGAGAAACGTGTGCTATAGATATCGATATTAGATTGGATTAGATTTTAAGATGGGTTGGGAACTTGTCACCACGTCACTGCATTCTTTGAGGATTATTATGACATAACCACTTCATTTCCATTACCAGTTAAGAACGCTATAATATCCTTAGGAGAGATGTTGCCTAATTCCGTTATAAGTCGATAGGCAGTGGATAAGTACCGAAATCTGAGACTGGCGAGACTATCACAATGACACAGCATGTATCAGTATACTATAGATTATTTCGCTTATTTAAAAATTAAAATTTACAATTATCATTTATCTTAAACAGATTAAAATAATATTTAGATTTGTTTTAATAATTTATCTAAATGTGTCTAAATATGTTCTAACTAAATGTGTAGTTAGAACATATTTTGTAAATTCATACCGACTAACGAAACCTTGACAAAAATACTCTCAATCTTTATGTAGAAGATAGCAAAGTTTTTCTCATTCTAAAAACGGTTCTCAAAAATGAAGTTGTTATTAGACTCTGTCCTTCTTTTTCTTATCCAGCTAAAATTCTAATCTATGAATGCTGTTAATTATTTTCTTTTTGTTTTTTTCCTTTTTTTTGCAATAAAATCAATATTAAAGCTTTCTTCAAATTATCTCTAACAATCCCGAGTTTTGACTTCGTAGTTTCGAACGTTCATTATTTCTCAGTCATTTTTAGTTGTTTTAAATTAGTGTTTAATAATTCTTCTTTAAGGATACTCTTTAACTAGTAATCATTATTAGTACTAATGACAAACGTAGTGATTTAAATAAATGTGCAATTGGCCTATGCTTGACAAAACGTTTAAGTTCTAGATTAGTTTGGGTTAAACCGGCTAAGGACCCATTTACTAAGGACCCATTTAGGCCTATTGGATGATTACGTAACTGTAACCTTTAAGTACTTTCAAAGGTTTAAAAACTACTTTGAATCTATGGCAATATCTAAAATTGTTCTTTGGGCTGATGATCTTAAAAAATTTAAGTCCCTAGTACAGTCAATCGCCGCCGCGGGTTAAGTTCAAAGTTGTACCGTTTCTTGCTTAAGTCCTAACTTAAATTTTATATATATGTATATATTTAAATCCCAATTTAAATTTTATATATATATAGAGAATTTTATATCAATTTTTTATTCAAAGTTTTTTAAAGTTTGAATTGAACAGCATGAAAAACTCAATCATCAGTTCCGAAATAGTTGGCTTTGGGAAAAATCAGATTTATATACGGTTATATATACAGACATAACTTCCCGTTAATTGTGGCAGTATTAATTGTAGGTTATAGTATTCTCTTCATTTAAGTGAGAGCTCATTATTCCTTTCCTTTATATGTTATCTTTAATTAGTGTCTAGTATTGCAATATAAACTGCAAATGTACGAATTTATAAAGGAAAATGTTAGCCTACTTATTCCTAATGCAATGTAAGAATGAAATTATTAACTTTAAAAGTACTTTATGATACTTTATTAACCAACAATTATTTATTATATTATTTTAATAAACTTCTATTTGTACATTGAATTAGATAAAAATAGTCATTCCCAAAGTTAGACTAAATTTACGCCAGCTGCTTTTTTCTAAAACCCTAATTTCCAAACCTATTTAGGTCTCTTAATGTCTCTAAAGTAAAAATTTGTTATATTTTTAGAAATAATTGCAAAATTTTACTTTCGTTTATACATAAAACAAAAATACATTTAAAATTCCTATTCCTATTTTCATGGCTATGTCATTTAGTTTTCCTTTTCATGATTTTAGGTATTAAGACTATGAATAATTTTTCTAAGTCAAAGATATTTTTTTAAGGCATTAAGTGAAATCATAAGTGATTACAATTCTCAATATAAATAAAATTTTTATTACCTCTGCCACTGTTAAATTTAAATAAATTGGCGCCTCATAAATTTTAATATTCGATTACCTGTGGCTTCAACTGTGTATCGCAGTAATTTGATTGCACAACCGAGATTTAGGAATACAGAATACAGACCAGAATTAGCTCCTAACTGAGCCGCTTACAAATTACATTTTAAATTGGCTACATAAAAAGCGTACGTTACGCTTGAGTATGATTACTATACGCTTTACTTTATGTGTAATTTTCAATTATGACGGAAGAAAAAAAAAACCATCCAATGAGCAATGAATGCAGCATCTGTTCATTCCTGCGCCTGTAAATCCTTTACTAAGCCCACTAAATGGTTCCGCATAAATGTGTGCCTCAACATGACACTTGGCACATTAATTCAAGTCACAATTTTACAGCCCAAATGGAACTTCTTTTTGTTGTTGTTGCCTCAGTTGTTGTTGTTGTTGCTGTTGCAATATGTACCGTATAGGCTTAAAATAGTTGAGTCCACTGCAATGGCTAAGATTTGAACATGACGCAGTTGTTGCGAGAGATTGAAGACACGATGTGGCATATGTGTCGACATATACAGCTACAGATCATTATTTTTGCTTTTTATAGATTTTAGCATTTTTTTTAATACTTTTGTAGGTAAATACGTTCCATACAATGTGAATTAACTATATAAAGTAAAACAGAGTCGTTGTTTTATGGACAGAGGGTTTCCAATTTAGAACAACCCCAACCATATTCTGAACGGAACAAGTTTGATAATTGAGTGGAATTCAATAATTAAAGTCAACATATAAATACATAATTAAGAAAACAATTTTCAACTTCAGGAAAATTGGACTGGTTAACAATTCTTTGAATTATAAATTACTACTTTATATTTGAAGAGAAATATTTTATAAATTTTTTATAGTGTACGGAAGTGTTATTGTATCAAACTATTTCATTTTGATAATAAATACTAAATTGAGGAATAATCAAATATATGGAATTATAGTTAAAGTTCAATTCAATAACAAGGTTAAAGCACAACATTAGGGGACCAAAGTAAAAATCACATACTTCTTCGTCACAAACAACAACAACAATAACATTGTATGGACGCAATACTACATAGTAAATAATAAGGTATACGGTATACCGTATACCGTACATTATCTGATGAAGCAATTAGCTGTCACAGCTATCCACAGCAAGTATAATATCCTAACATCATATAACTAAATTTTTCAAACCCATCGAGATTTATTAGGCCGTGCAATAGGCAAATAAACCTAAATTGAACCAAGCTTTACTGTAATAATACAACCTCATAAAAATAACATATTGTAAGCTTATCGTTAGTTGATTGACTGGTGAAAGTGGTAACTTTCTATAAGTTTATTTGCGCCTTTCATTGATAACCACATTACAAACAGATTATTAGATACAGTTTGTAGTTATAAAAATGATTGCCAGACGCATTTTTACAGATCAACGGGTGGAAGGAATATCCAGAGGAATATATAGAAAGAGGCGGAAGTCGTGAGATATGTTATATGAGAACACAAAAGTGCTTTGGTCGAAATTATATAGATAAAGTGCAGATTCAAATATACATACACTGGCGATAACGAAAGAATGCATCATCAGACTCAACAGACGCTTAAACTTACCTATCAATTACAGTATAGACTGGAAGAATATATGAAGATCCTAACATCTATGTAACACAGTTTCCTACAGAATATTGTTGCGTTGGAGAATGTGTGTTCAACTGCAAGCATGCCCATGATCTCTTTTATTTGTATTATGATGGAATAATAGAAAGCGTAAACCATGTAGTAATAGTTTGCGGAAGACTAGCCAGAGAATCATAAGAAAAATTAATGACAGACCATAATATTTGTATGTGAGTTGTACAACATATGTTGTGTTAGAAATATGCTTGGGAACAAGTAAAACAGATTTTCACAGCTATCATGTAGCAACTGCGACGCAACGAACATAAACACCCAAGGTGAATAGATGTCAGTTGAGAGATACAGCATTAAGAGATCGCCCCTATCCTCAGGAAGTAATGCGCAGTTGATGTTTTCGTTGGACATTTTTAAACAGCAGCACAAACCATAGATGTTCAACCTTTAGGCGTACTGTCTTGCAAGTTTGTTTGATTTTATTATATATAATTGACATGGAACTATTTCTGCGCTATACTCATAACAACTCATTGGTAGTGTCATACTTTACTATATTGTATGTTACTTTAGTGTTAAAAACTGCAAGAACTGTATATGGATTTAAGTCCGAGTAAAATTTTTTGTTAAGTTCAATATAAAATATCTGAGGGTTTATATATATAACTACGAGTATCTATAGACACGTCTTACACGATGAGTTATCAGGTATTAAACTGTTTATTTCTTAGAAACTTCTGTTTCTATGCTTTAACTACAGCTCTATATCATTTGACGCCATCGATCTGTTGAAATGTGTTTCTAATTACAGAAATTTATACCTAATCGATTTAATGCTTTGTTCAATTGAGTGACATGATTTCTGAACCTGAATACAGAATAAATTCTATTCCGCTTTTTTCATCCACACTTTTTTCTGCAATCGTTCATGACACTCTATTTTTAATCTTTCCCTCTTGTCGTCTTATTAAATTTTAAACTTCTGTATTTGATTTTTAAGCTTTTCCTATGTAGGTGAAACCTTAAATCGGATAACAATAAGCAGTACTATGAAAATTAAATTTTGACTAAGGTTAGAGGAGGAGAAACTACTGTTTTAGTTATAAAGAAATATTTCAAAAAAAAATTTTCAAATACTTATTATTTTATTATAATTATGTTCAAATAAATTTTTTTTCTTGGAATCAAAAGTATTAGTCTAATATGTACTTCTTTCATAGTAGAATTAATGGAAGTATTTAGTCTGAAAATAGAAGAGATACGAGTACTTGAACGTACGTTTACTTTAAGTTCGAAACTAAAATTTCGCTTATCCTATCCTTAAATAAATATAATCATAGAATCTAGCGTATAAATCTTTCTTTCACAGCATGCTTGTATTTCGAAAATGGGTTATGGTTTCAGATATGTCCGAATGTAATTTTTGTAAATTGCTCTAAAAAAAATTAATAATTTTTACCTTACTAAATATTTACATATTTGAGACTATGTTTAACAAAATAATAAATTCCGACTAAGAGAAGTGTTATAAATACCCTATAAAACTATTACTTAAAGAGTAGTATACGCTGACATAGTAAAAAGTTTTATATCACTTCGGAAAATCTATGTAACATACGAGTTTATACAAGCGTTTCTTATCTATAAATAGCAAAATAATCTATATGAGCTGAGAGTAAGGAATTTTTTACAGTTTCATGCTATGTTTAGAAAGGAAATTGTTCCAAACGATATTTATTGGCACCTGCAGACAATGTTCTCTACACCACTGGGATTTGATTTTGTTGTACACATTTAGTAATTTGTGCCATAAAATATTGATGTTTATCTTCAGTTCGATGGATGGAAGGCGCATTTTACACACACGACAGATTAAATGATTCTGACTAAGTCAGTAAGTCTGGCGAAGCATGGATAGTTACTTGTTGCATTTTGTATTGATGGTACACAGATTTGGCATAAATGATAGCACCAAATAACAACACTGTAGACATGTTCATGTCTAAGAATTAATATGGAATGAAAATGGCATCTTGTTTACCTTTTTCCCGTTAGCATCAGCGTTAAGCACCGCTGGCTTCGTCTCAATTTCTGTCTGCGCATGTTGGACCAACGCATTCTTCGAGTTCGCTTGCACGCCAGCTTCCTTGGGACTCGAGTAATAATACAGATTTGGCGGTAATTTTATGATGAACATGTGTGAATCATCGGGCGAAGCATGACGTCGTGACTCAATTGCCAAACGTTTCCGGTTGTGGCTGTTGGGTGCCTTTACTTTTGTAAAACCCAATTTGCTGCAATGGAAACAAAAGGATAAAAGAAAAGAAAGTTGATAAGAGATGAAAATACCATATACATTAAACTATAAATTGCATAAATTAAAGGCTAATAAGTTTCCAATAAACATTTTATCTGTGCTTTATTTTTTTTTTTCTGTTTTTTGCAAATTGAACCCAAATTAACTAACTTGAGTTGCTACTCGCATAGGAATTTTCTTCTATAATTTATGTTTTATTTTTCATATTTTAATAATGTTGATCATGAAAAACGTGCCATGCATCAAAAATCGAAAATCCCTGATGCGGTTTTACTTTTGCTTTGGTTAAGTTACTTTTAATTAAGTGCATATTTTTTTCAATTGGCATCGTCATCGCCGTTGCCATCGCCATCGTCATCGCCATAAAACCTACCTTAGAAGTTTCTTATTCATGCTATGAGAACTCTTCGTAGCGCTCTTCAGCTTTTTCGTTCTGGGCGGCTTCGTCGTTTCGGTTGATATGTTCGCCGACTTGACTTTACCCGTTTTCGACTGTTGCTGTAGTTGCTGTTGTTGCTGTAACAGTTGTTGTTGTTGTTGCAACTTAATTTCTTGCTCTTGTTGTTTTTGTGGCTTTGACTGTTTCATGTTTCCATCCTTAGTAGCCGTATCCAATTTTCTGATTGTAAAAATGTTGGATTGCTTTGCTGTATCCTTTTCCGTTGCTCTTCCCTTTCGTTCTTCGGCGCATTGTGAAAAATGTTGGAGGGAAATAATGCAGCAGAAACTGTTACGAAATGACAAAAAAAGTATATAATTAATAAAACAGGGTTAGAGTATGCGGTAGAGTATAAATTTTGAACTGAAAAGGGTTAATTATTTGTTAGTAATGCCTTAACGAACCAACATATCCATTAAACTGTATAAATATTTCATTGCTTTGTCATTAGATATCATTATTGCTGTAAGCACATACTTAAGTATGAGTAAGTAAATCACACTACACTTAAAGTTAATGATACTCCACTCATTGTTTGAAGATTACATTGACGGATTTACTACCTAAATAAACCATAAATTATTAAATATTATCTATTTAATATTATTTGTTAATATAATAAATAATCATAATAATATAAAAACTAAATGCATTAAAATTAATATTTTTAATAGAAAAGTATTTTGAATAGTAGTGAATTACAACAACAAAATTTTATTATTTATTAATTAATTGAATTTTTGGCTGACCACACAGTTGTTTTGAGTATTGTCAAATAATCATCATAAGTGGTATATCTGGAAATATTTCTTATATTTAATTATTCATAAATAATTTTTTGAGACTGCAAGAACCAAAGGTTGAACGCGAGCCCTGCCAAATTTGAAGTTCAGAGTCAGTGTTCATTAGCCGAAGCAGTACTTGACTTGTATGTTCGAACTTGAACTTTTGTTAATATACTATGAAAATCATAAATTAGCAATATACTAAATGAATGAACTAATACTCGAAACAGCTGTATGGTCAGCCAAAAATTCAATTAATTAATAAATAATAAAATTTTGTTATTAATCATTACTGTTCAAGATACCTCTCCATTAAAAAACTAGTTTCTATTAAGAAACTTAGTTTCTTTCGTCGTAATTAAATTTGAAAATCGATATAAAATATTTTTAAATTATTATTAAAATTATTAATTATAAATTATAAGAGACCGTATACAGGACTATCCATTCTATAGTTTCGAAAATAAACCGAAATAAAAGATACCCAAAAATATATTGAGACTCAAATTGGAACCATCTCTTTAAGAGTGAAACATAACATCATTTAAATGCTCTGCAAAGAATAGTGCTAGATCCTAATAAAGTAGGATGCAATATAACGGATATTTGTTTTCAGTTTCAAGATCTTAAGGATTATCATCATAAGCAAGATACTTAAATAATAAGTTAAAAAATAAAATTATATAAATAATTTAATAAATTGAATAGTCTAGATGACCAATTTACATTCGGGAATTTTTCACGTGTAACAAAACAAAACCAAAAAATGTCATGTGGCTTGTGGGTTCATCTTCTTGAAATCACATATCTTTTTTACTCTCAAATAACTAGTCAATATTTTTGTAGTATAGTTTTATACCAATAATTATTATATTCAATGATTAGTAAATGATTCATATTTTAAAATGGAAAACATTTAATAAAAAATGTGATATTAGTTTGACGTATTTCACTATACCGAAAAATCAGGACCATGAATTAAATAAATCTTAAACTAAAATGGAATGCAATAAGATCATTGTAATTTTTGTAGTGGGACGTACCAATGTTCTACAGAGGAGGAGTAATCTTTTTTCTATCGTATATGTGTCCAACTTATCAAAATTTAATATCTTTGAGTCACTTTTCTTACCGACATAACAGCGGTTTCATTCTTTAATATTAGGAATATGCCAGTGTCTACATACTGTATAGATTGATTGACTTTTCTTTAATTACAAGAGTCGTGCCTTTTACATCATTGTCGTTAATAACTTACGATCTTTACTTTTTTTTTTGATTGTTCTTCTGGGGTATAATCAACGTTTATCGATAGTATTACAAAGAAAATTTATTTGAGCTCAAGTAGACTACCATTCAACCTCAAATTTTTTTTTGCTGTTCGTTCGTTACTACTAAAATTGCTCATTTTAATGCATATATTTAATGCTTATTTGAGTACTAACTCATTGTGGGAGTTGTGTGAAGGAGTTTACTTCATAACAATGTGAATGAAATTAAGTTGAGTAATTTATATGTAGTGTTCTGTATTCAATGTCTTTATTGTATTAATATATTTTCGAAAATATCTATACAGAATGCAAAAAGCAGAGCAGCCCAACTGTATATATTGCGGATCAGTCAAGGACAATACTGAGCATACTTTCTTCAACTGCGAAAGATGGCGTGGAGAAAGAACACTACTTGCAGGATATATGGGTCACTTTACAGTTGATAATATTGTAGAAAAAATGATAGAATGAGCAGAAAATTGGAGCAAAATCACGCAATTCATCGGAAATGTTCTAAGAGAAAAGAAGAAAGATCTGGACGCAATCTAATCTTGAACGAAGAGCACGAATGAGAGCCGGAACACATACTCTGAGATTGAAAAAAGTAGACTGTAGGGCAAGATTAATTATCTGCAACAGTAGCGGAGCCTGGACGCAGGACACAGCGATGGAAGTCTTAAATGACTAATAGGGACCCTACCTCGAAGTTATACTAACGTAGTCCCGGGGTAGAACAAGGTCTCTAGGAATGAGGGGGAGTGGTTTAGCCCGTGCGAGTGGGGCACTCACCTTCCGGAAGGGCGCCGGAAGGTGGTCAGTGCGTAGGCATTCCACTCTTCCTTGCCGCACAAAATTAAATTAAAAATTAAAATATTTTGTATATATTTCTCTCTTATATACTATATATAATATATATATTTTATATTCTTCCATATCTTTACCGCTTTGAGACTATGTGTTGATTAATATTTGATATAATACTTGCATTGGAACTTAACTAAAAATCCAAATCTGTTACTAATTATATATTTATTTGATTTTTTAAAGTATTACATTTTGTATTAAAACAAAAATTACAAATAATGCCTTAGCTTTTGTTTAGGAATTTTATAATTTCACGGAAATATAAAACTTTGAATTGAATCCATAAATCCTCTTAATTATTCTGGAATGGAAGTTGAAATATGAAACAAACAAAATATTAACGAATAGTAAGAGATGTCTTAAAGAAAGCATAAAATTGCTGAAAAGCACGTTCCACTGTATTACAAAATAAAAGGAGAGTAAAATAAGAAGAATTAAAGTAGCTAAATAATAGCATAAAAACTGTACATAATGGAACTGTTAAAAACTATTGACCGCCTAAGAAGTTCTTATTTCGCATAGCATTATTTCGCAAAAAATAAAGAAATTAAATGAAGTGAAATAAAAAATAAAACAAATTATAGTTGAATTCAATGAAATTTATGTGAAAAATATGCATACAAAGCATTCAATGCCAAAAGCACAGTGGCGGATCGCACGAAACCCATAGAATGTGCCTTCATAGAAATCTCTGGAAGCCATAAATATTTATAGGTCGTTCTTCGCAGAAATCATTTGCAAATAAAATAAATAAGGTTTGGAAGAGAAACTTTGTGCTGCGGATACAGTAAAGAAAGTATACCCAGTAAAGAACTGGGTAAAGTACAAATGATAAGTAAAATTTGTTCCCAGAATTTAGAAATAAATTGCATTTCCAGTTTAAAAACTTGAAGTGTTGGAGTAATAAAAATAAAAAATTAAATACTTTGCGTAACTCCTTTTTTCAGCATAAAATGCGCAACTGAAATAAAATAAAAATTAAATGAAAATAAAAGATCTAAAAATGTTTTCAACAAATATTGCAACATGTGCTCCGTGCCGTACGACAGCATATATGCAATCTCCTAATGTAACCACATATGCAAGACCGCCTACTCCGTGGCCTGAGTGGGTGTGTATGCGTCCATTCAAGACATGGTGGATATGTGCAAAAATAACGGAAGAGCCGCAGACCAGAAAGTATAGCGTTTGGTTTCATATGAAACGTCATGGCGGACAAAGAGTGAGGCAAATTTATAAGTTATTTGAACCAGCACAGGAAATATAGTTTATCCGCAGACGTAAATAAAAGAGTTTCAAAACCTAATAAAAATAGACAAAAAATATTATAGGTAAGAGCTACTGAAGCGAGTGTGCCTTTAATTTACATTCGACCACAAAAGTGCCAACAAAGTAAATAAAAATTAAAAGATAAATGGATTAATAAAAAGCCTAGAAATTCTGTTATTTTTATTGCACTTGAATCGTACATTGTAGAATCAATTAAGCGGATTATGTGGCATGTCAGAAAAAGAAACAGGATTATCAAATGGAATAGAATATGAAAAATATTATCGAAAGGATTTCAATATTTTGACAGCGTTATTAATAAAGTTTTATTTATTAGGTAAGAGTGATCTGTCAGGCTTTTAATATATTTTTTTCTAACGTTATCTAACTCAGATTTAACTAGGGAATTTAAAGATTTCGGTGAATACATTTATATACCATATATATGCTATATAATATAGATGGTAAATATGGTATAATACACCATAAAGCGCTTGATTTCAATATTTTTCTTTAAGATCTTTAAAGAACTTTAGAATCAAAATACGAGCTGTATCAAATAATAGAATATTTCGAGCGTTATATTTTGTATATCTCTATACGTATTTCAGTAAATTTGCTTTTGCCTCCATCTGGAGAATTTCTAATATTAAAAATAAAAAAACAACTTATAAATTAATTATATTTATTAGAGCTCTTATATTTAATTTTAAATAGTATGGTTATTGTTGTTTTTTTTCTTGAGGGTGACAGGTATAAATGGTATCGGGATGAGTCTGGTTTTGTTGTTCAGGCTTGATTATGAACAGGTAGTTCGGTCAACTGTTTGGATTTGTTCTTTAGAATGTATATAAAAAGCCACCGTTGAGTAAAGCCTTTATCACCGTTGAGTGAAGGTACGGTCCGATGTTTGTGTGTTTCAATGCTCTCTGGATATCATAGCCTCATATTGGTTTTATAATGCTGTTATACATAAGCACTTTATACTCTTGACTTATGCGAGATCTGCTGTTAGAGAGTATGTGTAATTTACAGGAGTAAAGCTTTATTTGTAGACTACTGGCTTCAATTAGCTAGCACAAAGTTAGTTGTCTGTGTA